ACTATCTCTATGCCAAATTTCATCAAAATCGGTTGCGAGGTTTAAGCGGGAAAGCGTAACAGACAGACAGACAGACAGACAGACAGACAGACAGAGTTACTTTCGCATTTATAATATTAGTTGGGATATACAGATCAGAGACAGAATAAACTATTTCATCATTTATCCCGGAAAAGATGTCGCTCAAAAATATGGCGTAATTTCAAATCTCTAACTCCCAAATTCTCACGATTCATCTTACGCGTTTTTTTCCAAACCCTTACTCAATAATTTGACTATTGCTTAACCTTAAGAATGGAACAAACCCTTTGTCCAAAAGACCGAAAATGGCCACAAAAAACGGCCTTTGAGTCTCGTAATGATTTCTCTTTCGAAAAGAATGAAGTTCTTCAAATGGCCGTCGGTTTCGTATTGAACTATCCGGGAGGGTTAAAATGAAGGCTAGTAGCTGATAATTATTTGTTTATAAACCATATTAATAATATTATGCGCATACATACCAACAAAATCGGTAGAAGTTATCAATTTAGAAACATAAGTCTGATTATTTCGTTATTTATTATTTTCTATGCTAATATGAATATACCTCGACCATTTTATCTGATTAAGCTATCTTTATTATTGTGACAATATTATATGCAATTTATAACCCATCCTAACCTAACCAATTTTGAAGTCAAAAAGAATTCACTCACGAAAAACATACCTACCTATTTATGAAAATAAACAATTTATATGATATTTGGTAAGCAGAGAATGACGCAAGATTGCTTAAACAATTGTTGAAAACCGATGTACTTGTACCTATATTTTAAAACTGTTGTACAGACGAAGGCACACCAAGCTAAGCAATTTAGTATCTTATTCCGTTATAATAGATGTTATTTCGTAACAAAACTGAATAGTCTGATGTGCCCTCAACTGTACAAGAACATATTCGTGATCCACGCGTTTCTGCCTTGTTGTTAATTAAAAAAACAATAAATAAACACGATAGCAAACTATGGAAACATAAAGCCATTATATCGCCTATAAAACGGCTTTTCCCTTGAATTTGGCGCTTGTCTCAACTCAATAACTGTTGCGATAAAATGATTCGACGATAAAACAAACGTAGGATTAGTCATCGGAACCCATGAAAACAGCGTGAAAAACAATCGATAGATGAATTTAGCAATGACTCCATAATCGGCTTTCAGTGCAGTTTATTTGGCAAAAGGTGGTGGGTTTGTGTCTTATCGGAGGGAGTAAATTTTTCAATTTAAGTTCATAATACTCGGGATTACAGATTACAGATGCGAAGAAGTCCTAATAACGTAAAAGTACATTACATCACATTACATCATTAAATAATGTTAAGTATTGTAAGTGTATTGTCGATGATACTGAATAAACATTTTTTTCTTTCTTTCTTTCTTTCTTATCACATACTAATCGATTAATGTAGTAAATTAATAAGGTACGGGTTACGCTCAACAAAAAATATGGACATTGAACAAACTACAAATCTTGCAACCAACTAAAAGTAAATGGGCGACAGTAACGCTAGTTAATACTGCCCTATCGAACTAAGTATGTTGTTTTGTTTATCGATACTACTGTAAAGAGGTGGGAAATCAAGTCCGTTTTTTGTTTTGAGCCAAAATTGCCCCCTACAGCTAAAGAAATCCGCAAATACGTAGATATCACACACTATAACAACAAATCTATCGATTGAGTAAAATTTTTCGACAAGCCCGATACGCCCGTTCCCACAGACCAGTGCCGTATTATCCATAAGGCACTTTAGGCCAGTGCCTAGGGGCCCACTATGACCAGGGGCCCAGCACTTCCGATTAAAAAATGAAAAAAAAAGTCAAAGATTATTTTTATGCAACAAAATTCAAACCACCTCTAAACTTCTCCTTATTTTGGTTTACACATTCAATCGTCATATTTCGATATTGTGGAACCTAAATCATTTTCCGCGTTGGCATTACTGCTTTGGTTTACATGACAGATGGACAGTCGACGCAATTCTGAGGTTTAAAAGACTGCGGAGGCTAGGTAGAGGGGTGAGGGTGTGTCATTCGATATAGCCAACGCTTTCAATACCATCCCTCATTCCACCATACTCTAGGCACTTCAACATCACAGAGTGCCTCAGTACCTTCGAGCGCTGCTGGCCGATTACTTATGGGACCGCGAAGTCCTATATGTTAACAGAGACGGCCAGCTCAAACGGCGCGGCGTAGCCAGCGGGGTTCCGCAAGGTTCGGTGCTCGGTCCACTCTTGTGGAACCTAGGCTTCAACTGGCTCCTCCGGGGCGTCCTTCTCGCGGGCATGAGTGTCATACGCTATGCGGATGACACATTAGTCGCTCGCAGAATACGCCACCTCGGCCTGAAAGTCGCGCTGGAGAAAACTGAGGCCCTCTTCTTTCCGGGGCCTCGCCAGCGCGCCCCTCCCGACGCCCACATTGTGGTTGAGGACGTTAGGATCGACGTCAAAGGCCAGATGAAATATCGCGGCCTCACGCTTGACGGGAGGTGGCATTTTAGCCCGCACTTCAGCGGGCTAGCGCCACGCCTCCTCAAGGCAGCCGGCGCACTGAGTTGGCTCCTCCCGAATTTGGGAGGGCCACAAACGAGGTGTCGTCGACTTTATGCCGGCGTTCTGAGGAGCATGGCGCTGTATGGCGCCCCAATCTGGGCGGACGCACTCCACAAGAGGGAGAATGCTGCCCTTCTGCGCAGGCTCCAGCGGGCCATAGCGCAGAGGGTCACAAGGACCTATCGCACGGTAGGGCACGCTGCGGCGTGCGTCCTCGCTGATACTTCTCCTTGGGAGCTAGAAGCTGGGGTCTTGTCAGTCATCTATCACTGGATGGCAGACCAGTGTGCTTACCATGAGTTTACGTTAGGTGTGCTCGCTAGCGACTGCGTAAAAAAATGACATTACTTGTATGACATATTTTTCAGCGCCCCTAGCGGCTACTTTCAAGAAACAAAATCTTCATAGAGATTTTTGACGTACTCGCTAGCGAGCACACTTATCGTAAACTCATGGTAGGTACACTGAAGGCGCGTGGAAAGCGCCCGGCCCCGGAGCGGTGCGGTGCCGTCAGGCTGGAAGACCGCGAGATCATGATCGAGAAGATATGACTCGCGCAAAGTTTGGCCGCCGCACTCTGGACGCCATTGGTCCTGTTCTGGACCAATGGTTAGTACGACCGCACGGGTTCCTCACGTTCCGTCTGGCGCAGGAGCTGACCGGGCATGGCTGCTTCGGTTCGTACCTGCATAGAATCGGGCGAGTGGAATCCCCGCTGTGCCACAAATCCGGCGCGGCGGATGACACGGTGCAGCACCCTCGCGGTCTGCACAGGCTGGGAGGAGCAGCAGTCCTCACTGCAGTCGTGGGCCGGGATCTTTCGCTTCCGAGCCTGGTCAACGCCATGCTGGGAAGTGAAGGATGCTGGAAGGCGGTCGCCACCTTTTGCGAAGAGGTCATCCTTCAGAAGGAGGCAGCAGAGCGCGAGCGGGAGAACGATCCTTTCGCCTCATCGCTCCGTAGGCGGAGAAAAGGGTGGAGAAGGCGGTTGTACGACCGTTCTACTCTGCCCCCAGGTGGCGGCCAGTAGGCCGGAGGTGCGGGGGCACCCTTGTCACATCCGTCTGACGGGAACGGCTTGGCGTTTCGGGCTATTCCCGTCGGACCCCCACAAAGGGGGCGTGTAGGGTCCGCCGTGTAGGCGAGCTGTCGCCGGTGGTATCGCGAAAGTCTAAGGCTACGGCCGGATACTCGCGACACCCCCACTTGGGCGATCACGGAACGCCGCGGAGGTACTTTTAGTGGGTATACCCCGTCCTTTTCAGGACGGAGCTGCGCCCTTTTTAGGGCACCGGGAGTCCCACGCACCACCTTGTCCCCCGGCAGTGGTGACGGTGCGCAAAGCATTTCCTCCAAAGCGACAAAAAAAGGGGGGCCCGAAACGAGCTGTGCCTAGGGGCCCCTAGATGGTTAATCCGGCCCTGCCACAGACCGCCATTCAACATTACCAATTACAAAACCAATTCTCAAAGAGTTTTTCTAGTCCAATGAACAATCCAATAGCGCATTCTTTGTAATGAGTTTTTAGGAGATTCTGCAGCTATTTTGTAATTAAGAGACACACAAAAACAATCACAAGTAACAGTCAATAGCAGAATTTTGATGGAAAAGATTACTGAAAAGTCGAAAGAAAGAAAAGGTTGCTTAAAAGGTGATTCGTAGAAAAAAGTTACTGTTAAAACTGACAATTTATGTTAAATCCCAGCTACTGAAGATATAATAAACGATATTTCAATAAAAGTCCATGACGCAGTTCAAAACACAAACGTAGCGCACATAACAGTATGTCCTCATAAACTTGCAAATTGAACCTAAGACCATTTGCTTTGTGATCTATGGAGCTTACCACTAAACCACACCAGACAACCGTAAACAAAAATAAGCTCAGACAAACGTCAATTCAAGTTAATGGTGTTAACCATTCACCCTTTTAAAATGTCTAAACAGAGAACTGAGGCTTATAAAACAAACCAAAAAGTTTCAAAAACGAAAACCCAACGACTGAAAATGGGAAAGAACTTCCTCTAACCTTAATGAACTTGAGGAACAATTTGGAATGTTGTTTCTTTGTTTAAAGACAAATATAAAACAATAAACATTAAGTTCATTATGAAACATACTCCACGACCCTCAGCATCGAGGGGCGTGAATAAGAAAGAGGATAGAACCATTAGCAGCAAAAACAATTCTTATAAGTTATAATATACTTAATTAACTAAACCACCCGTTAATTGAAGGAATTCAAACTAAAGTTAATTACACAACAATACTTTAAGTACCTATCGCTAAAACTATACGCAATTTGGTTAATTAAATATTGAGAATCGTACAAAAACTGAACGTAAAAATTTTTTTGTGGGTAAGACAGGCTTCAATTCTGACGGAGTGACTTGAAATTAGCACTTACCTCAAGTTTTTTGGAGTATTCCTCGACGACTCGCTCCTGTTCCTTTTTCAGTTCTTCGTTCTTCTCCAAAAGCGCTTTCCCCAGCTCAGCGGCCAGCAAAAGGTCAGATTCCTTCTGCTGCAGCTGACTCCAGACGTCGGGCTCAATCCCGCCGTCCATACCACCTTCCCTTGAACTCGCCATTTCCATCACGTACTCCTCCAAGTCCTGGTAGAATCCTTCGTCCGATAAACTCAAAGCCTTAGCTGTTATCCTAGTCCCACTGCGAGACCTGCTCCTCCTATGTTTACTTATTGGTGTAGACGACCGTATATTCCCCTTCCCAACAAACTCTGTCTCATCAGTTATGAAATTAGGCGATTTGTTACGATCCGGCGGTTCAGGTTTACTAATATCACTACTTCTACTATTTGTGTTAACTTCACCAGCCATTTATCTACTTAATACGTTCTAAAACTGAATAGTGTGAGTTAACTTTGCACTATTTTGGTGTAGGTATTCTTTTTGAACAGTTTGTCTATAGCCTGTTGGATTTTCGTTGTTTTGGGTAACTTGATGCTTTTGAAAATGTTCACATTCAATTCGAGATCTTTTTTTAATGCCATTATAACTAATTGTGTATCACTTCAACATTTCCGGTTCACAACACTGCACGGCGCGCCGCGTTGGTTCGATGCCGAGAGCAACGCGGTGTTGCCTCGACGACGGTTCGGGCACAACAGTGCCGAGCGAGACCGAAGGCCCGCAACGAAGTGCAGCGGTCATAGATTATGATGGCGACAGAAGGCGGGTTTGGCATTGAAGTGGGGTTTGGAGAATGAAAAATATTTGGATGTGAACGTTATTTTGAAGTAATAAATAAATAATATTTAAGGCAATCTTTTATATCAACAGATGAGGGTTGGAAATAAATATTGGAGCTATTTTCATATTGAAAATAAATATTTTTTACCATTAAATAAATTAACTGATTTATAAAATTATGTAATCCAAAAAATTAATCTATCTACACAAATTATTAAATCCAGTGCGGCTTTAGACTTTAAATCTTAAATGGTTTTGATAATGTTAATTAAGAAATTACTGACTACTTTTTTAATTGCTTTCAGACATGTTATTAATACTCTGAAAAAGAAAACGTAATATGGACAGCCAAAAAATTTAATTACAGAAATCAAAACTCTAAAGATGATTAAAATTATTAAATGACAATACGAAGTAGGTAAAAACAGAATGGCACATCTGTCCGCAACTTTCTCAATGACTCGACATGCACGTGCGAACGAACGAAACAGCAACAGACAGGTAGCAGAGCAAAGTGTATACGCGGGAAAGAGACGGCTATACTACATCAAGGTGATACGAAGAGAGTGGTCGGCTTGGCCAGTCGAAAAATTGTGAAATATTATACTTTATTGTTGGCAAACTGTAGGAAGTGATCTCATACTGAATCCTTTAAATTAAATCATCGCAGAGCAAGAAGCTGGCCTTGACTTTTAAGTTTTATTCAATGGCGGAGATATTTGGTTTTATGACCATCTAAATCTGATTGGTCACGGAAATAGGCACGAAGCGAGGACCGGTCTACCTCTATGATCTAATTCGTACTAGTCATATTTTGGCGAAATAATTTGCACAGAGATCGCGCAATAGCACCGGGATCTGTAGCTTAGTGGAAAAACTCTCAGCAAAAAGTAGTGGGTTCGATTCCCGTAACAAACAGCCGCAAATCGTCCACTGAATACGATATTCATTGAAATTAACTGTCTGTAACTACGTAAATGTAATTGAAAACTAATTCTCCCATTTAGAAGAATGTTGCATGATGATTGTTGTCCGAAAGAAAGCGAGCTCTGCGACAAGAGTCGGCTGAATTTTGCAATAATTCATTTGCTGTGTTATTTCAATAATTAATTATAAATAATTGTCAAAAGAAACCGCCTAATCATTTTTCAAATCATGCAAATATTATTTACTCAGTTATCCATTACTGCACATTTAAATACACTGTGTGACATTTCATAATTTACGCAGCGATAAACCGCGATAAAAAAGCTATTAATTTTTTTTAATACTTACTTGACGTCAAAATTGACATTTTATATTTTAGTAATTAATGGAAATAATAGTATTGTATGTCAATAGAAAGTTGTTAAAACAAACAATACTGTCTGGCTAGAACATTTGGCAATACGCATTTGGTCGCAAAAAATAATAGGTAAATAATTTTCGAGTCGCACATCTGTACCTACAATGTTTTTGCCATGAAAAGTTTTATAGGGTTTTTTGACCACAGAAATTATTGCCCATAAGCCTAAGCGCAGACCGTCGATTTTTCGTGGTCCGATAAGTTTAGTCGGGCAGTTGATCAGTATGGGCATGTATGGAAGTGCGCACATTACCTACACCAATTCGATTTGGCCGATTCTTCATACAATTTAAAATCGGGCACAACTATCGGCCAACTAAAAATCGGTGGTCTGCGCATAGTCTAAGGATAAAACAAACTTAAAAGAAAACAGCATTAATCATTATTAAGCAATGATCGTTAATTACTTTTGTATTATAGATACTTTCCCCTAACTATTGAATTAGCGATTCTGTTATTATTTTAGCATAAATAATTACTAGCATAATATTTTTTTATTAGGATGTTATACAATTGACATTAAAAATTCAGAGATAATTAACCTCTTTTGGACTTTTTCCTTAATTATTATAAGTCTAACGATAGGCAACTGATCATAATAATATGGTAAAAATAAATAATCCACCATCGGCACCACCAGATGCCCTATTTCTTGAGCAATAGATGTCACTTTCAACATCAAAGCTTTTGATCTCTACGACCGCTTTATTTACCTTCTTGCCTTGGCCTATTTCCTTTTTTAAATACTTTCTGAAAGCGCTTAAAATTAGTAATTTTATTTCCATTCCTCTAATGAAAGCATGAACTATCAATTGACTCGGCCTTTGTCTAGAAGTGGATGTCATTTGGCTGAAACGAACGAACAAATTCATTTCCCGAAAAGCATTTTATGTTAATTCAATTTATTTACATACTAACCTACCACGGCTGCCTAGCTACCCCATCGATTCTACAATCCTTCGATTTTAGTACCAAAACTTGGTACAGTTTTTTCAGTCCACCCCTGACTTACGCGGTGTTTATTGCACGTTGTGAGAAGTTCTTCAATTCTTCACCATGACTGCTCCGAGTGATGACATGGAGATGGAGAAGATAGCTGAGGATGAGCTTTCTAAGCTGCAGAGACAGGTAACTTTGAGTGATAAATATTTAGTTCAGAGATTCTAAATAACTTCTTCTTTCTGTCAAAGACGCTATGTGGAAATGATAATAAATAAAATGAAAAATTGATTAAATTTAACTTTTAACGACGCGTCCATATTATGATGACAATGGCGAGAACAATGCTGTAACTGATAATTACTTTTTTTATCTCCACCTGACACTTGCCAATAAAGTTCCTGATAGGCGTGAGCTCATTACAAACTTATCTATCAGATAAACTACAGCACAGCTTTAAGGGTCACATGTCGCTGATGAGATATCCGATAAAGTCACCAGTCACCCTTATTTGTTAGATAGGGTGACTTATCCAAAACTATCCGTAACTTAAGCGCGGAAAGGCGCTGGCCTTCGGTGGTATAAAACATTTATGTTTAAAGTCAATACAAGACTGTTCAATATCTCGCTTAGATGACCCATATAGTATGTCCAATAACTGGTAGAAACAATATCGTAGAGAAGTCCGTGTATCTATGGTAAGCTAGTTCTAAAGAAAACTATCTTATAATGTACCTAACTCATTAATAAACGTCACGTTAAGACCCGTGTCTTACTATTTTAATTGAAAACTATCTTGTACACAGTTCAGAGTGATGGAAATAGATCGAGCCACCGTGATGAGCAGCGTGCAGCCGACCCTGCGGGTGCAGAGGAACATCATTAAGACCCTCAACGCCGACTTGGAGAAAATCATGATGGAGCTCAAGGTTTGAGGCATTTACGCGCAAAGATGTCCTGTCCACCTTTGTTAAGATTCAGAGGTCAAGGGTTCGATTCCCAGAGAGGCTCTGCTAAGACTTGTTCTGAGACCATGTGGCTAGCTATGCTAGCTACCACCATCTTGCCAAGTAAACGAATAGGAAGGATAGCCCTCCAGATAATTGGAGTGTAAATTGCAAAAAGTCGGTGGCAGAAGCCAAAGGCTTAAATGGCGCGTAATAAGAACCTATGTGTACTACAATAATGTTTAAGTTTATGTATTACACTTTAAATCCTTCCTACGTATAGTCATAGACAACGTATGTATCTAACTATCACATTTGTAAAAAGCAGTGAACGTACAAACATGACCAGAATGTGAATAGATTGATTTGATTGAGAAAGTTTGTTACACACATTGTATAACGAAGTCTAGGATAATGGTGAGATGCTTAAGTAAGTTGTTACTCCCGATCAAGGACAGCTACCATCCTAGGGTCTGCTTCAAAACATTTACTACAAAAGCAGCAACTTATTTTATGGTGGTCTAACAGTGATGGAGTTTAAAAATAATAAATCATCATCACATTAAATAAAGACAAAAAAAAACAATAACACTAACATGAAACCTATTTTGAATATAACTACTGTTTTATTACTGTTTTATGACCTCATAAAATGTATAACATGGAAAGCAATAAAGTTATTGACTATTGACTATCATCAAATCGTAAAAACTTAACAAAACATCGACTTCTAGAAACAAACACACTCAATAATATTGTATCGAAACCGTATAGGTGTTATTATGGTCACCACAAAAATGGTCTCCGCTCAGTATGGGACCGTGACGGCAGAGCTCAGAAATCACGTTACGGTAATATTCTGTTCTGTGGACACCATGAGAGAAAGGCATAGAATTATTTTGTGCCAAACACCACGCAGACACAATCGCAAATAGATAACCAACACACATGCATCGGCAATCGGCGATTTAGTCGCTTTATAGAAGTTGAATGTAGCAACCACACATTTCACACGCCAGACGCGGCGATTGAGTCGCTTTTCAGAAGCTCAACGCAGTGACATCAGTCGCCAAAACGCGCGATTCTGATACTACAGAGTCGCTGCAACGCGCGTTTCTGACTTAAACCGCATCCGAACGGGTGAAGTCGCAAATTCGCCGATCCTAAAGTAGCATGTCTACTAATTTTAAACGACTTTTGTTGGTTCGTGGAACTTGCATGGGTTTAATTATGTATTAAAGTTGAAAGGCGGCTCGGTATACGGTCGGGAAGGATTAAAATAATCATTTGGTCAATCCCTTCGTACGTGGGCTGGTTGCTAATTGCTGTAAACTTGTGTCAATGAATTCTAAGTGACTCATTCAATGCACGTGGTTTGGAATTTTAACTATAATTTTATACCTTTTTATTAGAAAACAACGACATGTAGCGTTTTAGAAATAATGCAAACGTAATGTAGAAGGCCCTCCAGCTACGTGTAGTGACGAATGCGGAGTCAGTCACTGACAGGGGCTGAATGCGACATGCCGAAGACAGGGTTTCCATAAAAAGTGTGTTGAATAACCAATCAGATTTCATTATTTTGTCTCTGCTTCGAACCGCGCTGGCGCCGCTGCTGTCAAATTCTATAGAAAATTTTGACAGCCCGGTACATCTCCGCTCCGCCTTGGTGAAAACCGGGCCTAAAATGACACGTATTGGGGAAGGCATCAGTGATGAGCAGCGAAAAGTCGCTGGCAGAAACTAGGTGCAACAAGCCGAAGACAGGGCAAAATGGAGCGTAGGGGAGGCAGCAGCACTCAGCAGTGATGAGCATCATAGGATACACCATAGTAGTAGACTCTATGACTGAGGTTGTTGACAATGATGATGAAAGAAGCTCTAAAGATCCCAATGGGTTGTACACTACGCTAACGTGTGTCCCTATTATAAGATGATGATTATAACAACGCCAAAAAGTGCCATTCCATGTGCATGTTGGAATAAGTGCTGCCCAGAATGAAACCATAGTGCATTTTGTTCCTTAGGCAATTCCTAGTGTGTAAATTCGCTGCGAATCTCGCTGGAATGCGACCCTGCTCGCACACACACAAAACTCATTTTTTCTCTTAAGTCCAGGGATAGATTTCAATGCGCTTCGGTTTACACATTAGTATTGGCCTGAGGAACAAAATGCAGTATGGGTTGATTCTGGGCAGCATTTGGTCCAGACCTTGGAACTATCCTTTAGTCGATTGTCAACAACATACTCGTAAGCACACAACACCTGCTCCTGCGTCACAGGTATGCGGCGACACGTGACTGTTAATTGGACTAAGCTTATCGCTTTTGGTAATTATTTGTTATCACGTTACCGAACTGCTGCGAGTACCTAATTGACGTTGACCTCGAGCAAGGTTTAGGGCGTTTAATAAAGTAAACGGAAGATGGTCGAAGGTTTTCATAACTTAATCATATTATTAGGTACCAGTTGTTCACGAACTACTTTTTCATGAGACTTCGGATCTGTGAGACACTGTGTGCAGATCCCTTCTGTCAAGCCTACATAATTATCGAATCTACATAGCTAATCGAAATTACTTACTTGTTACTCTAGATTTTAAATTAAATATTTTTCTACCAAACGGTGAAAATCATCCTACTCCTACTACGGTCAATAAATCTTAAAATTTAGTGTATTTTTGGACTCTAATGCCCGTTTTCACCATCAATCCCTAATTTATAAGTGACCCCTATGTAAACAAAATTCCTATTATTTGTCACCATAGGGGTCACTTAAAAATTAGGGATTGATGGTGAAAACGGGCATAAGAGACCTCCTATTTCTTTTTAATCTTTGTACAAAATGAATGATAGGTAAGTCCATAAGCTTATATATTTTTTTATAAGATTATTCCTTTTTTTAAGTCGACCAGTCTGCTTATAACTTCATAAAAACATAACTTTGACCAACAGCTAACCAAAAGCACCTCCAACGTCATGGAGAACGTGCGAACCCGTGACAAGCTGGTCTCCCTGCTGAAGGAACACGAGCGGTTCTCCACAGAGGTCCGCGAGCACAGGGGAACCATCAGCGAGCTGGACTTCCTCTTGAAGCAAGTTCAGAAGGAGATCAAGGGGCTGAAGGCGAAGGGCACTGGATGTGAGCTGGTAAGGGTTCCCTTCTCATCATCTTCAGGTCATTCTGTTTCCACTGCAGTCACACGACCTTCTCCAATTTACCAGAGGCCGCTGAAAATCAGTTTCGAGACAAGCCCTTGGCGCGGTCTTGATGTATGCTGAGCGGGTTTTTTTGTCAGAGAGGCGCAGCTATATGTCCACTTGTGTATCTCTTTTTGCATGTACCTATATGTCTTGCCTGCTTGTATACCTTTCTTTCAAATAAAACTATACTATTAAGGTTGGTTAGTTACAAGAGGTTGTCCCCTTTTCCTGCTAAATTATGAATAGTATGCCTCTTCCTTCAGATTAGAAAAGTTCACTTCTGATGAAAGGCGCAATCGCATCTACCAGTCTTGGTTAATAATACTTACGACTCTATTTCCCACTAAGAGTATCCAATTTGATCTCCATTTACCTTTACCTTTTACTGACACATAAAGGCGGCTTAGTATCATTATTTTAACCAGCAATGCATCAAAAGAGTTCTTGCACATGGTGTGCATGTCCAGTCAAGATTGGTAGGTAGGAAGTGGTAGCAGTTTTTCATTCATCACTCATTATATTCTTCTCCTAGGAATACGCGAAGACCCTGACCAACCAGACCATGCTGAGCCAGCTGGAGAACCGCCTCGACACCGCCATGAAGAAGTTCAACACCGTCAACAGCGAGAACTACATGATGAGGGTAGAGATCGACAAGCTGTTGAGAGACCGGTAATTACCTTAAATTTACCTTAAATTTAGCATTTCAAATATTTTCCCGCCATACGTAGCGTAGGACATTCGCCTACTCGATGACCGACGACCGTGGGGGAAGCCGGGGCATGGTCTTGGTGGTAATTGCTGACGTAGTGAGGTCAGCATTGCCTACAAAATGCCAAGAAACCATCTGCTGTGTTAAGTAGTGAAACACCGATGTAGCAGAACCCCGGCCAGTCCGCGTCATCCACGTCCTCGTCGTCCACCCTGGGACCTGCTGCAGCCACGCTTTGCGTGCCCACTACCTAGACTTGCAGCTGAGCTGAGGATGCAGGGCGAAAGGCGAGTATTCTGCGCCTGAAAACAGAATCCCATCACTAGGGAGGATACCCGGAAAAAACCGAGCGAGTCCAAAAGCTCTGAGGTGGCAGCCCCACCACTGGACTAGGGTACAGCAGGTTAATCACCCACTTGCCCGAAAATACTCGATTAACGAAACGAACACATCAGAATCAAAATCTTCGGGTCCAACGTTAAATCCGTGCTGCTCTATGGGTGTGAAACGTGGAAGTTCACCAAGGTCATCTCGCACCAGCTGCAGGTCTTCGTCAACCGCTGCCATCGCCGAATTCTCAGCATATACTGGCCTGAGAAAATCTTCTCCAACGTCGAGCTATTGGAACGCTGCCACGAAATTCCGATCGACCAGCAGATCAAGCACCGCAAGTGGAACTGGATTGGCCACACTCTCCGAAGGGATCCCGATCACATCCCCAAGCAGGCTCTGGATTGGAACCCCCAAGGAAAACGCAAACGTGGTCGCCCCAAGCAAACTTGGCGGCACACTGTGGCAGACGAGGCGAAGAAGATCGGCAAGACTTGGAGCGAGATCAAACACATAGCTCAAGACCGAACGCGATGGAGGACTGTTGTGGACGCCCTCTGCCCCATCTAGGGGACATAGGACCATAAGTAAGTATAAGTAATGACCGACGACCTCAAGAAAATAGTAGGCAGCAGAAAAAAGCTCGTGCTTTGTGACGTTTTGGGGGAGCTTAAATTCCAGCAGTGGACTGCCGTTAGCTTAAATGATGAATTATTTGTTACAGGCGTAGACTTTACAGGCCTCTTTATGACCGTCTATTTTTGTAGAAGGACAGACCAACTTTCCATTTAGGAAGTAAATTATGAATTTAGGTACTTTCCATTTAGGAAGTATTGAGGGTACCAGAAAGGTTTCTGTTGAAACAAGGACATAATAAATTAAAGCAGTTACTCATTGAATATCTACGGAGGATGGATCAAAACTTTTTGCTGTAGGTAATACACCACACAAAACTGATAACACCAAACAACAACTCATCGAAAATTTCCAGTCAATTCTTCAACCTGATCTGGCGGAACCAGCTGAAGCGGCTGATGGACGGTAAGGCCCAGATCCTGGAGCTGGTGGAACAGGCCATCACGGCCTACGACCAGCGCGAGGAGTGGTGCACTAAGCTTGAAGCCTTGAAGGAGAAGGCCGCTATCGACTATAGGAAGCATTGCATGGTAATACTATACCACCTCTTGTACATTATGAAATACAATAAATTATTCACAAACATTACTATGAGGTCCTACAGTGCGCGTGGACTCATAGGGTGAGACACGAACCAATCATAGAGCTCTATTCAACACTGCGTTCGATTTTCTGCTTCACTTAAGCAAGCATCGTTTGTGAATACGGGCGATAGTATAGTATCCTTGCATGAAATTATCGTAGTGTAGAAGACACGGTTTGATATTTAACACGCGTCCAAGTGATCCAAAATTGTTTCATTGCATTTGTAAAGAGAGCTTTTCTGTTCTTCTTGCTATCTATTGCGATTTCCAAGTCATGAGATATTGAGACTCCTAGAAATAAAATCTGACAAAACGCACCCTCAGATTTTGTACAGCAAAGCCACCAGTTCAGAAGATAAACTTACAATTACAAACCATATTTTATTGATTACAAATCGCCTAGATCGAACTTGACCGCAAAAAAACCTGACTCTCTTTTCAAAGCTAGAATGAAGTTGTTTTTAAGTTGTGTTCTGGATAACTGTGACAGCATTATTTAAAGACTGACGAGTTATTGAACTCCAATAATGTTTTGAATTGTAATTAGCTACTCAATTCTTCCTGTATCACTACACCAAACCCATTATAACTACAGGAGGTCCGCGAACTCCAGCGCCAACTAGACCACAGTCTGAAGCTGGAAGAGTTCCTGAGGACCAAGGGCACGGTGCGGCTGACGGCTGCTGACGCCAAGGCCGAGGCCAAGAGGCTTGAGCAGCAGGAGGAGGAAATGCGGGCTTACAACAACTATGTGAATGTGCTTGATGCTATACGGGTCAGTATCAGTTAAATCAATCAATTTTTTATAAGAATTTAGTCATTTTTATTGCACAAATTACAAATAGTCCCGTTAGCCCCTCGTACTAAGCTATGCTTGTGTCACGAGCGTCACCACCAATAGTCGAGCGCCAGCGGGATTCCAAACCGCGTTCCTCGGATCACGAGTCGGCCAGTCCGACCCCTTCACCGTTCGGATGTCGTGGCTTCAAAATAAAATTATCGATTACTAGCTTTCCGCCCGCGGCTTCGCCCGCGTGGAATTTTGTCTGTCACAGAAAAACTTTATCGCGCGCGTCCCTGTTTCAAAAACCGGGATAAAAACTATCCTATGTTCTTTCCCGGGACTCAAACTATCTCTATGCCAAATTTCATCAAAATCGGTTGCGATGTTTAAGCGGGAAAGCGTGACAGACAGACAGACAGACAGACAGACAGACAGACAGTTGGGATAATCTTCAGGTCACGTAGTCTCCACCGCGGGAGCCCTTCCAACCCTTTCCAATATTCCAGAAGCATTTGGAGGATTTGGATTCCCCTTGGATCGCTGGCAAGATGGGTTGGGGAGGCCTGATGTTCTTACTCGTCTATTTCTCCCTTAGTTGCCTCTTTGGATTTTCCGAGTGATGGATGAGGGTTACCCTATTCTACTCTGCCGGAAACACACAAAGTCTCTCTAAAAGAACACTTATGATTCATGCTAATCATCTTGCAATTCAATAGTAAAAAATAATCCAAACATCCTCTAAAAAAATGTACAAAAATAATATTGCCACATTTCCAAAGTCATCTCTCATAAATAGACCAAAACTATATTCTTCTCTTACTCATAAATTCCCAGGAGTTCACCGGCGAAGAAGACGTGGACAAGCTGATCCAGGAGTTCACTCGCCGGGAGGAGGAGAACTACGCCCTCTTCAACTACATCAACGAGGTCAACACAGAACTGAAGAACCTGAGCGATAACGTGAGGATACTCCAGGCTAACATTGGTAAGCTGAATCCCTTGCTTCAGTAACGTAAGTGCAATCAGTGTGCTTACCATGAGTTTACGTTAGGTGTGCTCGCTAGCGACGGCGTAAAAAAATGACATTTAAATGTATGACATATTGTGCAGCGCCTCTAGCGGCTACTTTCAAGAAACAAAATCTTCATAGAGATTTTTGACGTATTCGCTAGCGAGCACACCTAACGTAAACTCATGGTAGGCACACAGGCCTGTTCATCTCCGCGAGTTTGCATCGAAAACAAAACACGCGCGACTACCCCTCCTGAGAATAGAATAGAATAGAATAGAAATCATTTATTTGCGTAAGAGACACGGTACTCTCGAGATACCAAATCGACAGGACAATCACTAGCGAGTATTGACGCACGCACGTATTCTTCACCCATTTGCATTGTAAAGACATTAAACCATATGTAAAAACGGTGGTGCAATTAATACTGTGCAGTATTTTTTAACTGCCTGAATAATATTAGAAACACAAAATATAATTCATGCTTATTCATGTATTTCCTCCGCCATTTTTTGCAGTTTGGCACCTCACGTCACACATCATTTTACCGAAGTCAGCCTTATGTCTTCGGCGCAGTACCGATCACTGACGTTTGTCAACAAAATGGTGCTCGACTTGAGACAAGCTAAATTACACCATATTGTTAATGACATTGAGCATACATTTTTTTAAATACCTTCGCGAAGTAAAACTTCTGTACGTAGTACTTATTATTATTCTGTGGTCCTACTCACTGGACTGACGATCTAGCGTAGGTCATGGGAAGCACAGACCTGCAAGCTGCAAGATACGGGCACCGTAGGACCGGTTGTTGTGGAGTACCTATTGAGGAAGGCATTTGTCCAGCATTGGACATAGTTTGATTAAAACTGATGAAGGAGAGCTCTATAGTGAGCAGTATTATAGAATGTTTCAATATATACCGATTAGCGATTGGTCTGTGCTAACTCCTGCATTGACACTATAGAAAGAAATAAGTTTTATTAACTTTCGGATTTTGTAGACATGTAATAAAGAGTGTCTATATGTCTATTTCACCCTCCCAACCGTACTCTGCAGAGGACGAGCGCGCCAAACACCAGGCTAAACTCTACAAGCAACAAGACAGCATCGAGTCCCTCCGAGCGACCCTGGAGGAACGCCGAGCGAGCACCGAGGAGGCACGAGCGGCTGTGGCGCGCAGCGAGCTGGTACTGGCCGTGTTGTTGCAGCAGATACAAACGCTGGCGATGTGAGTACAGACCAGAAATAAGAGCCCTTAGGAACCCCTAATAACCCGGAGTTTAGCAGACGCAGGATTTAGCTATATGAGAATGAGACGCTAAAGGTGTTTCTCCGAGCGACGCTGGAGTAACGCCGAGCGAGCACCGAGGAGGCACGAGTGGCTGTCGCACGCAGCGAGCTGGTACTGGCCGCGTTGTTGCAGCAGATACAGGCTTTAGCAATGTGAGTACAGACCAGAAGTAAGAGCCCTTGTGAACCACTGATAGCCTGATGATCAGCACCGCAGCTGTTCCAGAGGTAATTACCAGATTCCAGAGGTAATTCCAGGTATCTCTTCCCTCGTCGATGAATAACCCGCATCCAGCAGATACAGGCTTTGGCTTGCATCTGCTTTGTACGTAAATGACGTCAGCGACCAACAAGTGCCAAACACCAAGCGAAACTACAAGCAGCAGGACAGCATTTACGAACGAATAGCCCAACAAAAGGCAGGCTAAACTCTACAAGCAACAAGACAGCATCGAGTCCCTCCGAGCGACGCTGGAGGAACGCCGAGCGAGCACCGAGGAGGCACGAGCGGCTGTGGCGCGCAGCGAGCTGGTACTGGCCGCGTTGTTGCAGCAGATACAGGCTTTAGCGATGTGAGTACCAAAGGTCTTGCTTTAAGGACGACCAACGAAGAAAGCCGAAGAAGACCGCAGCTGTTACAGGCTTGAACAATGTGAGAAGAACCTGACAGCGCCAGTTATATAGTTGGTTAGTGCCATACGACCCTATGAACTACGAATATAGCCCGCGCACCGCATCAGATAGAAGTCTTTCTCTAAGCGACTCTGAAGGAACGCCGAGCGAGCACCGAGGAAGCATTAGCAGCTGTGGCGCGCAGCGAGCTGGTACTGGCCGCGTTGTTGCAGCAGATACAGGCGCTAGCGATGTGAGTACCATGACCCGACAAATAGGCCGCACTGTTGCAGATGGTGGCTCTGACAATGTAGGTACCAACCGCCAAGGTATCCCTTCCCTTACGAACGAATAGCCCAACAAAAGGCAGGTTAAACTCTACAAGCAACAAGACAGCATCGAGTCCCTCCGAGCGACGCTGGAGGAACGCCGAGCGAGCACCGAGGAGGCACGAGCGGCTGTCGCGCGCAGCGAGCTGGTACTGGCCGCGTTGTTGCAGCAGATACAGGCTCTAGCAATGTGAGTACAGACCAGAAGTAAGAGCCCGTAGGAACCCCTAGTAACCCGGAGTTAAGCAGACGCAGAGTTTGGCTATATGAGAAGGAGACGCAAGAGGTGTTTCTCCGAGCGACCCTAGAGGAACGCCGAGCAAGCACCGAGGAAGCACGAGCAACTATGTGAGTACTATTACACTGCAGCAGATAAGTTTTTGGCAATGCGAGTGCCAAACGCCTAAGGTATCGCTTCACTTACGAACGAATAGCCCAACAAAAGGCAGGTTAAACTCTACAAGCAACAAGACAGCATCGAGTCCCTCCGAGCGACCCTAGAGGAACGCCGAGCGGGTACCGAGGAAGCACGAGTGGCTGTGGCGCGCAGCGAGCTGGTACTGGCCGCGTTGTTGCAGCAGATACAGGCGCTGGCAATGTGAGTACAGACCAGAAGTAAGAGCCCTTGTGAACCACTGATAGCCTGATGATCAGCACCGCAGCTGTTCCAGAGGTAATTACCAGATTCCAGAGGTAATTCCAGGTATCTCTTCCCTTGTCGATGAATAACCCGCATCCAGCAGGTACAGGCTTTGGCTTGCATCTGCTTTTTACGTAAATGACGTCAGAGACCAACAAGTGCCAAACACCAAGCGAAACTACAAGCAGCAGGACAGCATTGAGTCCCTCCGAGCGACCTTGGAGGAACGCCGAGCGAGCACCGAGGAGGCACGAGCGGCTGTCGCACGCAGCGAGCTGGTACTGGCCGCGTTGTTGCAGCAGATACAAGCGCTAGCGATGTAAGTACCTTAAGTTTCTTAATTTTTGCCTTAAGAACGACGAATAGAACGACAAATAGCCCACACCACATGCAGGCTTTAAAAATGTCAGTACATACGCCTGAGATCGCTGTAAGTGACGCTAGAGCAACGCCGAGCGAGTAACGAAGACTCCCGCGCCGCCGTCGCACGCAGCGAGCTGGTATTAGTAGCATTTTTGCAGGAGATACAGGCGCTAGCTATGTGAGTACCAAAGAACCTTAGCCCGAAAAATAGCCCACATATCATTAACAAGCACGACGAATAGCTCGCACCGCTGCAGCTACAGGCTCTGACAATGGGAGTATCAGACGACCCTTAGGAACGACGAAAAGCCAGAGGATAGCTCGCATCCTAGCAGATGCAGACTTAGGCAATGTAAGTAGAGACAGCATCGAGTCCCTCCGAGCGACCCTGGAGGAACGCCGAGCGAGCACCGAGGAGGCACGAGCTGCGGTCGCACGCAGCGAGCTGGTACTGGCCGCGTTGTTGCAGCAGATACAGGCTTTAGCAATGTGAGTACAGACCAGAAATAAGAGCCCTTAAGAACCCCTAATAACCCGGAGTTTAGCAGACGCAGGGTTTGGCTATATGAGAAGGAGACGCAAGAGGTGTTTCTCCGGGCGACCCTGGAGTAACGCCGAGCGAGCACCGAGGAAGCACGGCCGCTGTGGCGCTGCGAGCTGGTACTGGCCGCGTTGTTGCAGCAGATACAGGCTTTAGCGATGTGAGTACCATGACCCGACAAATAGGCCGCACTGTTGCAGATGGTGGCTCTGACAATGTAGGTACCAACCGCCAAGGTATCCCTTCCCTTACGAACGAATAGTCCAACAAAAGGCAGGTTAAACTCTACAAGCAGTAGGACAGTATATCGTCAGTGGAAAGGAAAAAATGCTAAAGCGCCATTTTGGCCAAAATGAGTTATATATGTCACCGTAAAATTGTGAATTCCGTCAGATTATAATCTGACGTAGTTAAATTACAATCTAACCTAACCTAACCCACTGTTAGTTTACAATCTAACGCGTTATATTATAAACTGACAGAGTTCACAATTTCACGTTGACATATACATTGTTGGATNGAGGAATATTCCGCACCCTAGCAGATGCATATAGACAGCATCGAGTCCCTCCGAGCGACCCTGGAGGAACGCCGAGCGAGCACCGATGACGCACGAGCGGTTGTGGCGCGCAGCGAGCTGGTACTGGCCGCGTTGTTGCAGCAGATACAGGCTCTAGCGATGTGAGTACCATGACCCGACTAATAGGCCGCACTGTTGTAGATTGTGGCTCTGACAATGTAGGTACCAACCGCCAAGGTATCCCTTCCTTTACGAACGAATAGCCCAACAAAAGGCAGGCTAAACTCTACNAGATACAAACGCTGGCGATGTGAGTACAGACCAGAAATAAGAGCCCTTAGGAACCCCTAATAACCCGGAGTTTAGCAGACGCAGGATTTAGCTATATGAGAATGAGACGCTAAAGGTGTTTCTCCGAGCGACGCTGGAGTAACGCCGAGCGAGCACCGAGGAGGCACGAGTGGCTGTCGCACGCAGCGAGCTGGTACTGGCCGCGTTGTTGCAGCAGATACAGGCTTTAGCAATGTGAGTACAGACCAGAAGTAAGAGCCCTTGTGAACCACTGATAGCCTGATGATCAGCACCGCAGCTGTTCCAGAGGTAATTACCAGATTCCAGAGGTAATTCCAGGTATCTCTTCCCTCGTCGATGAATAACCCGCATCCAGCAGATACAGGCTTTGGCTTGCATCTGCTTTGTACGTAAATGACGTCAGCGACCAACAAGTGCCAAACACCAAGCGAAACTACAAGCAGCAGGACAGCATCGAGTCCCTCCGAGCGACGCTGGAGGAACGCCGAGCGAGCACCGAGGAGGCACGAGCGAGCTGGTACTGGCCGCGTTGTTGCAGCAGATACAAGCGCTAGCGATGTAAGTACCTTAAGTTTCTTAATTTTTGCCTTAAGAACGACGAATAGAACGAAAAATAGCCCACACCACCATCTAGGCTTTAGAAATGTCAGTACAGACGCCAGAAGTCGCTACAATGAGGGTTTTCGCGATTGAAAAATCCGCCAGTTGGCCATACGTAGACGCGAGGTCCAAATTCTGCATGATTGGTTATTTTTGACATGACATTGACAGAATGTCAAAATCCACCAATCACGCAGCATTTGGACCTCGCGTCTACGTATTACCATCTGGCGGATTTTTCAATCGCGAAAACCCTCATTGACGCTAGAGCAACGCCGAGCGACTAACGAAGACGGGAGTGCGCCGCCGTCGCACGCAGCGAGCTGGTATTAGTAGCATTTTTGCAGGAGATACAGGCGCTAGCTATGTGAGTACCAAAGAACCATAGCCCGAAAAATAGCCCACACATCTTTAACAAGTACGACAAATAACCCGCACCGTAGCAGCTACAGACTCTGTCAATGTGAGTATAAAATGATCTTTAGGAACGACGAAAGGCCAGAGGATAGCTCGCATCCTAGCAGATGCAGACTTAGGCAATGTAAGTAGAGACAGCATCGAGTCTCTCCGAGCGACGCTGGAGGAACGCCGAGCGAGCACCGATGACGCACAAGCGGTTGTGGCGCGCAGCGAGCTGGTACTGGCCGCGTTGTTGCAGCAGATACAGGCTCTAGCAATGTAAGTACAGACCAGAAGTAAGAGCCCTTAGGAACCCCTAGTAACCCGGAGTTAAGCAGGGTTTGGCTATATGAAAAGGAGACGCTAGAGGTGTTTCTCCGGGCGACCCTGGAGTAACGCCGAGCGAGCACCGAGGAAGCACGAGCAACTATGTGAGTACTATGGCCCGACCAATAGGCCGCACTGCAGCAGATAAGTTTTTGGCAATGCGAGTTCCAAACGCCTAAGGTATCGCTTCACTTACGAACGAATAGCCCAACAAAAGGCAGGTTAAACTCTACNGACTGTACAAACATGACCAGAATGTGAACACATTGATTTAATTGGGAAAGTTTGTTACACATATTGTATAATGAAATCTAGGATAATGGTGGTGCTTAAGCAAGTTGTTATTTCCGATCAAGGACAACTACCATTCCAGGGTTTATTTCCAAATATTTATTCCTGACTACCAAAGCAGCAATCTCGTTTAAGGCCATATGGTATTTAACGGATTCTTTCCCAGATGGTCAATCAGCGATGGAGTTTCAAAATAATAAAGCAGCATCACATTCATGTACCTACTAAAGATAAAAAAAAAACAAACAATAACAATAATATGGAACCTATTTTGAATATAACTACTGTTTTGTTACTGTTTTATGACCTTATAAAATGTACAACATGGAATGCAATAAAGATATTGACTATTGACTATCAAATTGTATACGTAAACATCGAATTCTAGAAACAAACACACTCAATAATATTGTATTGAAACCATATTGGTGTTATTATGGACACCACAAAAATGTTCTCCGCTCAGTATGGGACCGTGACGGCAGAGCTCAGAGATCACGTTACGGTCACTGATATTCTGTTCTGTGGACACCATGAGAGAAAGGCATAGAATTATTTTGTGCCAAACACCACGCAGACACAATCGCAAATAGATAACCAACACATATGCAACTTTTAGCATCAGCAATTCGCGATTTAGTCGCTTTTCAAAAGCTCAACGCAATGACATCAGTCGCCAAAACGCGCGATTCTGATACTACCGAGTCGCTGAAACGCGCGTTTCTGACTTATACCGCATCCGAACGGGTGAAGTCGCAAATTCGCCGATCCTAAAGTAGCATGTCTACTAATTTTAAACGACTTTTGTTGGTTCGTGGAACTTGCATGGGTTTAATTATTCATCAAAGTTGAAAGGCGGCTCGGTATACGGTCTGGAAGGATTAAAATAATCCTTTGGTCAATCCCTTTGTACGTGGGCTGGTTGCTAATTGCTGTAAACTTGTGTCAATGAATTCTAAGTGACTCATTCAATGCACGCGGTTTGGAATTTAACTATAATTTTATACCTTTTTATTAGAAAACAACGACATGTAGCGTTTTAGAAATAATGCCAACGTAATGTAGGAGGCTCTCCAGCTGCGTGTAGTGACGAATGCGAAGTCAGTCATTGACAGGGGCTGAGTGCGATATGCCGAAGACAGGGTAAAATAACACGTATCAGGGAAGGCAGCAGTGATTAGCAGCGAAAAGTCGCTGGCAGAAACTAGGAACGACAAACCGAAGACAAGGCAAAATGGAGCAGTGATGAGCATCATAGGATGCACCGCAGCAGTAGACTGCTATGACTGAGGCTGTTGACGATGATGATGAAAGAAGCATAAAATATCCTAATGGATCGAGAGATAAATTACGCTAAGGCGTGTCCCTATTATAAGATGATGATTATAACAACTCCAAAAAGTGCCATTCCATGTATGCATGTTGGAATAAGTGCTGCCCAGATTAAAACCTTAGTGCATTTTGTTCCTTAGGCAATTCCTAGTGTGTAAATTCGCTGCGAATCTCGCTGGAATGCGACCCTGCTCGCACACACACAAAACTCATTTTTTCTCTTAACTCCAGGGATAGATTTCAATGCGCTTCGGTTTACACATTAGTATTGGCCTGAGGAACAAAATGCATTATGGGTTGATTCTGGGCAGCATTTGGTCCAGACCTTGGAACTATCCTTTAGTCGATTGTCAACAACATACTCGTAAGCACACAACACCTGCTCCTGCGTCAGAGGTATGCGGCGACACGTGACTCTAATTGGACTAAGCTTATCGCTTTTGGTAATTATTTGTTATCACGTTACCGAACTGCTGCGAGTAATTGACGTTGACCTCGCGCAAGGTTTAGGGCGTTTAATAAAGTAAACGGAAGATGGCCGAAGGTTTTCATAACTTAATCATATTAGGTACTACCGCTGTTCCCCATCTACCTTTTCATGAAAGGATTCGGATTTGTGAGACACTGTGTGCAGAAGGGAAGTCAAGCCTACATCTTAGAATCTAAATCGAAATGATCGGAATAATCTAATGAAATCTTCACCAATCAGTGAAAAATCCTTTCCATATTTTTGCAGTTTCGCGGATTTCCGTAACCTACGAGTATCTTATCTTTAAACTTACATGTATTTTTGGACTCTTATAAGAGACCTCGCTACCTTATTTCCTTTTTAATTATTGTACAAAATGAATGATATGTCCATATTGTCCATAATCCTTTTATAACTTTATAAAAACTGAACTAACTTTGACCAACAGCTAACCAAAAGCACCTCCAACGTCATGGAGAACGTGCGAACCCGTGACAAGCTGGTCTCCCTGCTGAAGGAACACGAGCGGTTCTCTACAGAGGTCCGCGAGCACAGGGGAACCATCAGCGAGCTGGACTTCCTCTTGAAGCAAGTTCAGAAGGAGATCAAGGGGCTGAAGGCGAAGGGCACTGGGTGTGAGCTGGTAAGGGTTTCCTTCTCATCATCGTCATTTTCATTAGGTCATTTAGTTTCCACTGCAGG